AAGTTAAGTTAATTCTAAGTTTATGTAAGTTACGTAGTGTCTCCGTACGGGCCAACTCTCTTCCCTCTTCCCTTCCTCTCTGAAGGTTCACTTCCCAACTTTTTTCCCAAACTGTTACTTAGAGCAGAAGTGGAGTCAAGCAGCAGATGAGAGGAAATAGTTCTCTCTCTCACCCTTATGAAAGTGAAAGTGAATTATTTGTCATTGTGACACAGTACACTGCACACACAACGAAATGTGACCTCTGTTTTTAACCCATAACCAAAGTGAACAGTGGCCAGCTCTAAGCGCCCGGGGAGCAGTGTGGGAGGACGGGGTCATGCTCAGGGTAGTAACTTGGCAGGGTAGTAACTTGGCAGCTGGTGGATTCAAACCGGGAGCCTTCCAGACCCAAGTCCACTTCCTTAACCACTAAGCCACCACTGCCGTTGCACTGCATAGTGCACAGTTCACACGACTGCTCCATCTATCTGCTCCTGACCCGGCCCCCGCCTGTTCTAGACGTTGAGTTTCTTTGCTTTTAACTTTAAATCCTAACAAGTCATTGCATGCTCCGCCTTGCTCTTTCACGGGGGAAATACCTAAAGATAGATTCATGAAACTATGGCAAGAGTATTGCGGTAATATTGTAATGACTGCTGGTATACTGGTACATGTACAGTCAAGTTGGTAGTGTATGCCATTCTGACAGGTATGGTAAACCACCAGGACAATGGAAGACAAACTGTAGTCCAACTGTACTGTACGGGTTTGAGTCAAAGACAGTCCTGGAAGTCAAAACTTTTTGGGAGTGGTAGTGTGGGTGGATCTACCGAGGGTGAAGGCCAGATTACTAAAATCACCGATGTAACTAAGCAGGTCAAATGAGAATGTCTCGTTCTGAGACCCATTTCCAGGATTTTGGCAGATTAAGAAATTTACCAAACCTAACTGACAAAGTCCATTTTCTAATAATATATCCATCTTTCTCTACGCTTTAATTTAATTTCTCTATTTATTTTTTTCTTTCCTGATCTTTGTTTACGTCACCTCTGCGTGACCTTCTGTTTACTTAATCTACCACTTTTTCTTTGCCCGTTGCTTCTTCGTCTCATCTCCGTGTATCAGTCATTCTCTGGGTTCCTCCACTGTGTCTTCACCTCCTCCTACTCACACACACATGCACTCTTTGATTTAATTCACCCTTCAGTGTCTTTGAATCTGATCGTTCCATGATTTCCTCCTTTGTCCTTCACGCCGTGATAGCGTGTTTGTACCAACACACCTTGAATCTGACAAATAAATCTATATTTTCATCCCTGGCTCCTCTCGTTCCTCTGTTTCTGTCCACCATCTGGACACATTCTCACACTCTCTTCCTTTCTCCTAATCTCTCTGTCTACCTGCTGATTCATGTCTCAGTGAGTCAAGGCCGATCTGAGGACGTCTGCGCTCGGTGAAAAAAAAAGGAAAGAAATAAAAGATGATGTCATCTTTCCGGCGGGTAGGACCCGCACCATCGCACCACAGAGATGCAGTGGTTAACATGACGCTGCCTCAGTCCAAGACAAAGAAACCAACCACCGCAATCAACGCTCCAGTTTTTTTAACGATGACAAAATGAGTCGAATCTGTCAAAATAGACCTGCTCGTTTAAATAAATTAACCACGGCACAGTATTAGTTATTTACATGGAAACTAGTGTTTTTTTTTTCATTTTAACTTAATGTAGAAAAATATCACTATTTAGGATTATATTTACCGTATTTTCCGCACTATAAGGCACACTTAAAAGCCTTTAATTTTCTTAAAAAATTGACAGTGTGCCTTATAATCCGGTGCACCTTATGTAATACTTTTGGTCTGGCTGCGCTTACTGAGTTCGAACCGATTTTATAAAGCCAAACCACACAGCACATCACACATGATGGCACAGAACTGGAGCACACTGGGAGCCAATTAGAAGATGCTCAACAACAATTGTTAAAGTAGGTTGTGTAACCCAAATCCGTGCAACGTCGCGTTGTGCCTCCCAACACCCGGACACTCTACGCTGCGTTTTTGTATTGTCGATGTATAGTGCGATGCAGGACGACTTAGACGCATGGCTGTCAATTTTTTCGTGGTCAAGACCTCTTTTAATTTCTCCTTTTTTATTGATACAGGCAAAACACACTCTCTTTGCAAAACAACATCTGCACTTCCGCACGGAACAGCGCCAAAACAACAATACGGTGACCATCCAGAACAAATATAGTGACTGCCTGACTCTGGAGGGGCGAACAACAA